GAAGAGCGCGCAGCCGGCCGGCCGGCTAACGTGCGTGCGCTGCCGCGCGCGAATCAGTGCGCGGCCGAATGCGTCGCGTATGCGTGCGCGCCCGTCAAACGCAACTTATTTTGTACCGCGACCGATTTCTTTCTCTTTTTTTTTTTTTTTTTCCTTTTCCCCCGTCTCCCGTCTCCCCCTTGCCGCGGAAGGGACGGAAATCGGGGAACGCCGCGAGAGTTTGACGTTACCGTACGCGAAACTGTACAGCAACAAGTGACCTCGTCATCGGTTAGCAACCGGGCGGACGCGATTCCAAGTGCCGGTCCTCCCACCCCCACGCGCGTGGTTTATCCGCCTTGCCCGCCTGTCCGCCTGTGTCCGTTCGCCCGCGGGGTGATCCCTCGATGTTCGCCGCGCGGCTCCTTTGTTTCCACGGATCGGTCCGTTCAGTCGGATGGAATCGACGATCGGGATCAATGAGAACCAATGAGAGGCTCTGAGGTCTTGGCGGGAAGAAGGAAGACGCTCGATTTCGCCAAGCGTCGCGAGGAAGTCGAGTTTGGTAAAAATAATTACCGCGGAAGTCGATTCCCTCTCTTTCTCTTTGGAATTGTACCAAAAAAAAAAAAAAGGGGCCAAACGCGAGTATGCAATCGCCACTAGTCTTCTCCCGCGGAGATAGAGCGTCGCGTGATCGCTACGCGCCTCGGCTGCGGATTCGCGAGTCATCGGAGTGCGAGACACGATTGTCAAGGCGAGACCGAGCACAGGCGAGATCTTCGTTCGCTGACGAACGCGCACCGCGCTGTCAATAACGCGCCCACTGTCATCTCTCCCGTTTTCGATCATCGGCTGACAGACGCGCGCACAGTCGTCATTAGCCCGTCCGTGACGCTCGGGGAGAGAATCGGACGAGTCGAAATCTAATAATAAACGCATCTCCTTCCGTCCGTTTCCGTCGCTCCAGGGAGTTCCGGAGCGGCTAAAGGCTCGAGAGAAGGAAGAGGGCAAAAATGAGCGCCGCTCGCGCGCTCGCTTGGCGGCCGCGAAGCAAAAAAAAAAAAGAAAAAGAAAGGAGAGGAACAGGAGGGAGCTTCGGGTACACTTTCGCCAACCTCGCGCGCAAGCCGGCCGAGCTCTTCGGCTCTCTCGCGCGACAAAGGCCGCTTGATTCAAGGTCCCACGGATGTGCACGCGCACACGCATCGGGCTCTTCGTGTACGCACGGCCCATTCGTCCGCGGCGTCCGCGCTGCATCGAGGACGCCGTCGGGATGGAGTTTCTTCCACGAGATCTTTTTTCTTTTTCTTTATTTTGTTCGTCGTTCGACGATTAAATCTCAAACGCGTAAGATCGTCCAGCAACATTCTCGGCAAAGTTCTCTCGGCGAACGTCTCCGAGGTTTTCCTAGTTTCGCTCGTTCTCTCATCTACGATCGATGACTGAGTTTGTTGAATGGTCCAATTGTCATTTCCCGCAACCGCGAAATACGTTTTCAATTTCATTTAACGCAGCGTTGGTACGGACGAGAAAATCCGCGAGATATCCCGAGTTCTCTGAAGAGTTCAAATTGGAACTCGGTATTACGCCGAAGATACATCTTTCCTTTTCTCACGCGTTAATCCCCTTTCTTGCAGTGGCATCGCGCTAATTTCGGCATTACGCTGCGGCAAAAATGGCGCGCGAACTGTTTTACCCCTTTTTCTCCTCGATGTACGACAAACAGCACGATGCGTGCTCGCATTCCCGAGAGCTAGGCCGAAGTTAATAACGACAGAAGTATCGCGCGGTGAAACTTTTGCGCACGATTGCTCCACTATTTTGAGGATTTGTTTAAACTTCTTTGTCTTGTATTCCTCGTTCGAGTTTCCCCTGGTAGGGGGAACCAGTTCGTTGCATCGATTTGATGGAATGTCACGCGGATGGGATATCATTCAGCTTCGCGAATCGACAAGCGGCTGTGGATTTTTCTCGGCGACGTTTGCGTTAGCGACGCACGGCTAATATTAATTCCAAGCGTGTGGAATCTCCGGGTCTCTATGGCAGCTGGTTTATATGCGCTTCTCGGAATTTGCGTCCTGCGCTTCGCCGCGAACGAAAGAATTCGCAAACGACTCGTTCTCTGCCGCGACTATACGGGAGTGTCCCAAAAACGGTGTTCTTTAATGCCTACACTTTGTCCCCAGAAGAATTTCATGTCGTTTTCATTAAAAAGTTTTTACCCCAAAATTTTTTTATAAAAATTAATAAAAATCATTTTTTTTAATTTTTTTTTTGTTTGAAGAGAGAGAGAGAGAGAGACAGAATTAATAGAATTAATAAAGTTTGTCCTTTTTCAAGGTAAAATTTATGATTAAACAAAGAAATAGTGTAATCTCATATTTCATGTCGTTTACTTCGGAACATAAATCAACAAATAATAACTTTCTTGCTTAAATTATCAATGTTGACCGCGAGAGAAATTGTTTAGTGATAAATATTCAACAATTAATATATATTTTTTTAAATCACCCTATACATGATGGGCGACGGTGAGATTGAATTTTTGTACATGCACCTACAGTCGATTCGACGAAAGTGCAACCGGAGATAGGGACCTAACGGGTGTCAAATTATTTTTATGCGTGTAGTAAGAAATAAAGCATAAAGTTACTTGGCTCTTATTACTTCGACTTGCCACAAATTTTCTTCCTCTATTTCGGGAAAATCTAAAATAAACATTCGATAATGATCTAAATTATACATTCAATGATTAGGGACATTAGAATCAAGTCGGATTATCAAGTTATGAAAATGCAATATCGTCATTTTACATTTTAATTATTTTTTTTAATTAAGCTTACGGAGAAAAGGCGATTGTCTTGGATCTATCTTTATCTCATAACTCGTCTTTCATAAAGTTGTCGTCTCAAACAAAGAATAATACGCTACTATTCAGAATTTACGCGCGCACTATCGGCACGTCGAGATTCGCGACCTTTAAAGACTAAAGTTCGCGATATTCAATGTAGACTAAGATTTATGAACATTAGCAAAGTTCAATTGCTGAAAGGGAAACCCTCCGAAGAGTCCTTCCACGAAAATTATCTTACCAGTCCAATTATTCACGAATCCACGAATAACGTTCCCCATTAATTATGAATTTACAATTAAATTATACAAAATATAATTTTACACATTTGCATATATATTAAATACGAGAGGGAATTAATTAAATTATAAAAAATTGGAGAATAGAGATTTAAAATGTTACAATAATCAAAATTGATTTCGAAATAGAGATTTAAATCTGTGTACGTATGTGTAAACGTATGCGCGCGCGCGCGCGCGCGCGCGCGCGCGTGTGTGTGTGTGTGTGTGTGTGTGTGTGGTGGTGTGTGTGTGTGTGTGAGAGAGAGAGAGGAGAGAGGTGTGTGTGTGTGTGTGTGTGTGTGTGCGGCGGCGCGCGCGCGCG